CTATTCTCAATCATACCAGGAAACCGTTTCCTCTCGGCTTCATCACCAACATCCACACGATAAATATTTTGATAAAAAGTTTATTAGAGGAGCATGAATTTAAGTACATATTAACGTACAAGTTTTCTCAAGACCACCTGGAATTGTTATTTTCCTGTATAAGATCTCGAGGAGGAAATAGCAATAATCCAAATGTGAAACAGTTCCAGTGGGCTTTGAGAAAACTTATGTTTCGCAATAGTGTCCAGCCATCTGATAAAGGCAATTGCTTATCATTTGACTTCAATCAACAAAGTTCTGTAATGAGCTTCAACGAATTATCCCAAGTAGTTGGGCATAGTGATGAAGCCGATGATGCTGATGATATAGAATGGATGTCATGCATATTAGAAGGCATAGAAAAGTCGTCTTACTATAAAGACAATGTACTATATTATATTTGTGGTTATGTTATTCGAAAGTTGGATCCTAAAGTGAAATGTGAAGAATGCAGTAATCTTTTAGTAACTGGCGATTCAAATCCAAGCCCTTGCACTAATTTTACTGATTTTCTATCAAAAGGAAAATTAATCAGGGCTTCGCCAGATGTAATGAAAATTGTTAAGTTCATGTACAATCAAATTGTTGCATATTCCAAGGATTGGCAAAAATTTGATGCCTCAAAAACTATTTCATTAGCATGTAGAACCTTTGCTGGTAACGCTTTTCTTAATCATAAAGGTAATAATGAATTCGGCGAGGAAAGCCATGACATGAAATTAATGAAATTAATTGGTAGGTATTATGTTTAACAACATTATATGCCACAGCATTTCTAAGCGTAAAACAGCAGAAGCTTCTCTGTCAAAGCTTGGTATGCGGCAGAAGTTAAACAAGCTTATTCTTTTAGCAATGTTTAGGCTAAATATGTTTCTTTGCTTTACAAAGTTTCCTAAATAAAATGTTTCTTATACAATCTAACCTTGTTCTTACTAATACCTTACCCCCGAATATTTTGTATTTTACGAGAAACTGATAAACCCCATTTTAACATAAACTATTTTGTATTGTAACATTGAAACATAATTAGTTTCGTTAGAGTAGTAAGTGAAGAAAGAACCAAGTCATAAAAGTTTCTTAATTGTACTATTTTATTACTTTTATTCCATCATAAAAAAAAAATTAAAATCGGAATTTAAATTATATTTGATCAGAAACCTCAGTGTGAAATATCCGCTGTCAGTTAATCTATACTTATTTAATACGCAAGCAGGATTTTTGTGACAATTACTCCTCCGAAACTACTGAACAGATTTACATGTTCTTGGTGTCATTGGAAAGAGCGTACCGTGAAGTTGTGCAAGAAACTTTCTTTTTAGGGAAATAATTAGAGGGTGAGGCCCTGGGGCCCTTTACAGTTTTGTATTTCTCCATAAGATTAACATGGGAAACAAATATTGTTATGAAACTCCAGCTGTTGTCAGAAATTAAAAGTGAGAAGAAGGACATATGTTAATTGTAAACACAGTCAATAAGTTTGCTAATTTAACGGTTAGTTTGCTACAATCATTTACTTACTTGGTTGAAATGAAATAGTTACTATTTGAATTTGGGTTGGCGTAAATATTACAATGGAAAAAACGAGAGAGCCTGGATAAATGGTTATACTAAAAATTAAACTGAATTAACACTGCGCTGCATTTCTTAGTAATCATTGAAAGAGCCGATTTCCAAACTATGGAAACATAAAAAAGTCATAAAACACCACCAAGGAGAAGAAATAGAAATAATGTGTGTTTTTTTTATATATAATCGTTATTATGGACAGCCTAATGCGGCTATGAGTAAGGCTATATGTAGAAAACACACAAAAAATCTGCTTTTGAAAAATGATAAGATATTTTTACAAAAAATGTTGATTATATCGATCTGTTATGTACATCTTGAGTATTCCATAATCTTTGAGTCGAATCTTTTAAAGTCATCAAAAATTATTACTGTTATTTGTTTTAAAATAACGCCTGTAATACTTAGAAATTGCTCGATTTCGAGCAACAGGCACACTAGTATTTATTAATTGTGGTACCCAAACTCGGTTACTCCCAGCGTTATTTTTACACTTTTATTACTTGTACAAAATTTCATGAAAATTGATTATTAAAATGCCTTACAACGTTTTAGTTGAGAGTAAAGGGCTGGATAAAGTGCACCGTCCTGGGGCCCATTTCATAATAAACTACAAGTTACAAGTTACAACTTGTAACTTGTAATTTCCATAAGATTTGCATTGGGCGATCAGCTGATTTACTAATAATATTAGTTTGTAGTTTATTATGAAATGGGCCCCTGGCCGCGACAATGCTAAGATGTGGCGCAGCGAGACGCTTAATCCCACATGACGCCTGCAAAATCTAAAACGCAACCCCGGTCGTTGGCTCGGGTCGCGGAGCCTAGCAGCCGATCCAGTAGTTTTATATACATCGATGTGTGTAAGCGGTGAGAGTAAATATACAGAAATAGGATTTGTACAATTTTGTTCATAATTTAAAGGACTATAACATACTAAATTTTTTATCAAAATCGTTTGGGCCATTTTTGGAAAAATCCGATTTTTCCGTTATTTTATGGGGTTTTTATAGGAAAAATAACATAATTTTAGGGATGGTCAAGTCTCGAAATTTCGGGAAATTTTCAGGAAATTTTAAATCTCATTACACGAGACGAGATTTCTTTTTGGGCAAGATTTTTATCGAGACGAGAATAAAAAAAAAAACAAAAAAAAAAAAGTTTTAAACGCCTGCAGAAAGTCAATGCAATACCCGCAATACAGGAGCGTGTTGTAGTTGCGTTTCCTTTGTAGTGATGTGCGATACGTATCGTATCGTATCGGAATATCGCGATACGCGAGGGACGATACGATATTTCGATACGATATTTGAAAAACGATACGTATCGTATCGCCTAAAACGATATTTGTATTTATATCGGCACATAGAGCGATACGATTCATGCCAAAACGATATTTTTAAGCTTTTTTTGCGCAGGCTCCCGCAGGCCGACTGCCGAGCAAACTGCAAAATCTGTACTCTGTGGATGTGTAGTTTGAAATAGGAGTTTTTGACGTCTCTATTTTTTGTTTTTACTTGATAATGTACCAGTCCCATCCCAGTCCAGTCCATTCCATTTCCACTAACGTATATCTAGCACTAGTGCAGAGTGTGGGAACTGTCTGTGGCAATTACTACATTAATGTATGCAATCCTAAAATGATATCGGAAGGATAGGGAAACATGTCCAAGACGTAGGGAGTTGTAAAGGAAGTAGTAAAGGCGAGCAGCGTGGAGTGTGGAAATGGATTAATGTATCTGCAATACTAAGACTGTTTTCAGAGTAAACTAATGATTTTCCCCGAGCAAAGCTTGGTCCCCAGGTACTTATATAAATTAGCCGTTTCTAGGTTAGGTAGGGGAGGGGGAAAACGATACGATACGTATCGTTTTTCGATATTTTTGACGATACGATTCGCGTATCGCGATACAGATGCCCGATTCGATACGGCGATACGATATTTTTTTCCGATACGTATCGTATCGCTGTATCGGATCGCGATACGCGTCCGTATCGCCCATCACTATTCCTTTGCGAAGGCGTTCTTATTTAATTAATTCTTTAAATGTAAATATTACTTTAATTATTTTAATAATATTACTTTAATAACTTTTGAGAAGTTTTGTTAAATGTAAGCAGTGTGAGGAATGTTTATTACTATAAAAAGTCAAAACAAGTACCTAACTATTTTATAAAAATTAATATTGCTTTTATTTTATGATTTATTTTATTTTAGGATAAGTTGAACTCTATCCTAACTGATATCACTATGTTTCCTAATCGTAGGCATTTGTAATAAGTTAGGCGTGATTAATAAAAAAATGTTATGCTGATGTTTTTTAATAAAAGATTGTAAATATTCTTGCCTATTATCATTATTTTTGTATTTAAACAGTCATCTAACAATGTTACAAAATCAGGTAAAAATTTTGAACGTACATTTCCCGTTGTGTATGAGAAGGGAAATCCCGTCTCGATCTCGTCTCAAAAGTTTATGAGAAATAAAAAATCTTGTCTCGAACTAAAAATCCAATCTCGTCCATCCCTACATAATTTACAATAACTTTTGAACCGAAATTTTTACAGAAATGGGATTTGTACCATTTTGTTCAGAATATAAAGGACTATAACATACTAAATTTTTATAAAAATCGTTCAAGCCATTTTGGGAAAATCCGATTTTTCCATTATTTTATGGGGTTTTATGGGAAAATCCCTATTAAAAATCAAAATTTCTAAAAAATTAAAAAAAACTATCAAAATTGTAAGGAAATCCTATTTTTTGTTATTTTATGGATTTTTTATGGAAAAATAACATAATTTACAATAACTTTTGAACCGTAATTTTTACAGAAATGGGATTTGTACCATTTTGTTTGGAATTCAAAGGGCTACAACATACTAAATTTTTATGAAAATCGTTCAGGCCATTTTTGAGAAAATTCGATTTTTCCGGTTTTTATGGGAAAATCCCCATTAAAAATCCAAATTTCAAAAATATGAAAAAAACACCTGGAGATACCATGGATTAGAACCTACATACCAAATTTTGAAATCGGACCACAGGTGTAGTCCCTAGTTCTGTACACATCCAGTCACACAGACACACACACACACACACACAGACATCACTTCAAAAACCACTTTTTTGGGTCCAGGGGGACCCAAAACGAATATATCCACTCAAAACTCAAACTCGAAAATTTTGGCGAAAACAATACTTTCTCCATATACTGTGGTATAGGGGGAGAAAGTAAAAAGGAATGAATGTGATATTTTTAAGGAGACATTTTAGTGAAAATCCAATCAGGCAAAGGGAAATCCGCTTAGTCTGCAGGTTTGCTGTGGCGGGGTATTTGTCCTTGTCAACTTTAAAACAATACTGAAACTACAGGTAGGCCTAGATAAAACTGTTTAAATAAAAAGCGTATTTATTAATTCACACAATGAACTTGGTCTAAAAATATTATGTTATTAATAAACAGTATTTACAAAGAACAAGTTGATAAATGTAAGTCATACTATTTACAGAAATGATATAAGATATTTTTACAAACAAGGTATTAAGTATATATTTACACTGGAACTAAATATAAACACACGCTAAATATAAATACTTTACAAGATCATTTTGGTACAACATAAAGCAAAAGGTAACATTTTCTTCTGCCTAGAAATTGTGGCAGTTACTGTACTACTAACCCTCTAGGTTAGTATTATAAAAAACAGTTCTTTGAGACATGTCAACCTTTGGCATCAAATTACATGTCCGAAGTGCTCCATTTGTATGCTTCTTCATCCCGTGCCTTCTTTGCGTTCTTTGTCTTGAACCACTCCTGTTCGTAGCCGTTAGATCGTACAACGCCATCCCACCGGTAGCCTGGCCTTATGTTGAATCGGTTAGGATTCCAAGAGCCTTTGTAAATTGGTTTTTCTGAAACAGAGCATCAGTGTTTAAATTTACAAAATTGTATCCTATTTATTGTATTTTTTAAATCCCTTAAATGGATCCACCTAACTTGAACCACTTAGTTTGATTTTTGCCAGTTATAATTTCAAAGCTGGTAAACCTTTTTAAGATAAATAATCTCTTCAACATACTTAATGAAGTCCTTTATCTAAATGAAATAGTATCGAAATTGTATCTAAGAAAAAACAAATATCAGGAATATTATGTATGACATTTTTTTTGTCACCTCAGAACAGTGACTTTTCCTGTAAAGTAGCTGAATTTATCTCTCTTAACAAAACTCCTAACTAGTGAAATTTGATTGGAAAATTCATTGGGATTTTTTTAAAGGGTAAAAGGGCCTTGTATATTGGGACAGGGATTTAAATCGTTTTAAAGCAAAGATAATGTAACTCCATCAAAACACATTTTTATGAAAAACTAACTTTTTGGTATCTTTCATAAATTATAATTTTCTCATTTAATTCTTACTGAGTTAAAAAGCTCTTATAGAGCTGATTATAAGATCCGTTCTTACAAAGCGGAAAAACATGTTTTCATACTCCTAAATTAAATTAATCTAGCGGCATGTACAGACAAAAGTCCCTAAAAAGCTCAAAATGCAAACAACTTATTTGTTATATTAAAACAAACTATGAATCAAATTATTTATTTGTCGAGATGGAAATCCCTGTATACCATATCTTTGTGTTAAAAAGTCTCTCTGTTTGCTTTGGTTGTTGTTATACATATATATATATATGCAATCCAATGTTTATCTGGCATATGTTTGTCCTTAATGAGTTATGTTATATACAACCATCCGATCTTGATAAAACTTAGAAGTACTATACAAAATGAACAGTTTTATAAGCCACATTGAGTAATATTTTATAGTTTTTGGGTTCGATTTCCCAGTTCTCGAAGCCTATCACAAAACTCCTTCCCATCAGAATTTACAGTTGACAGTTGACACAAAAATCTTTGGTTTGGTTTTTGGTTTTCAAAAAGTCTCAATTATAGATAACGTTAGGTATCCCAGTTTTTAATATTGTATACAGTACATTGCAGAGTTAACTGGCTAAGAAGAGGCTAATAACCAACTGCGTGTATTGAATAGTACTGGCTTGGAGATATAGCACGATCATATATATTAAAGTACACAAAAATTAGCTGTGTATGGCTTCCAATGCTATTCTTATGGAGAAAATTTTAGGTTAGATCTGATTTGGTGATGAAATTTTGGAAATCCTATTTTCCCCATTGTCACGGAAAAGAGACCAGACCGTTTGAGCCCTCTTCCGTCGTTCTACACCTTCTAAGATGCCCCAATTTTGACGCAAAGAGTTGCCTTACGTAATCTATAAGTATAAAAGAAGATGTTTGTATATATATTTGTTTGTTTGTTTGGCAGTGATAAACTCAGACACCGCTGAACCGATTGCCACGAAACTTGGTACATACGTGTAGAATGTCATGGAATAGGTTTATACACCATCAATTTCGTGATCCGTCCAATCGGCTCCGCCCCAGTGGCTCTGGAGTTTCCCATGTTAACCTTATGAGAAATGGAATTAATGAATCTTAACAGCTGTTTCAATTAAACAAGTTGGTTCTGTTCTATGATGTTTAATAGCATTAAAGTTACAAGGATTACCAACAGGGTGCAGCACTATTATTTCTTTTACATTTATGACAACAACTAATTTGCAAACAAAAGGTGAGTGAGCGTAGCGAACGAACTTCAACCTGGAGGCGAGTTAGCGTAGCGAACGAGCTAACCTGAAGGCAAGTGAGAGCAGCGAACGAGCTCCAAGCTAAAGGTGAGTGAGCGTAGCGAGCGAGCTCCAACCTAAAGGTGAGTGAGCGTAGCGAACGAACTTCAATCAGGACGTGATTGAGCCATGCGAACGAGATCATCTTGAAAATTAAGAAGTTAAACGGGGCAAAGCCCGCGGGATTATAAATAGTCAAAGGCAAGACAACGTCTGCCGGGTTCAGCTAGTAAAATATATAGATAGATTCTGCAATTTTTAAAGGCTGATGATCATGATCAGGCGAGATAAATATCAAATTATTTTCATTTTTCAGTAACAGGGTGTCCACCAGCCAACCAGAAAAAATTCATATTTTTTCAATTCAATTCAATTATTTAAGATGGGGACGCCACTATGTGCGTATTTTAACCTAGTTTAATTTAACATAGTTTAGGTCGTACGTTTCATACTAAACTTTCCAACGTGTTTTTGCGCCAACTCCCTCAATTCAGTTTTAGCACTAACACAGCTTGTTATTTTAGTAATCGGAAAAATGGATTATGAGTTAAAGAAACACAATTTATGATTACTGTAATATTTCCTGACACAAGTATACAATTTTTATATTAGCGAATTTCCCATAAAGGGTATAAGCTATTACCGTAGTACTCATGGTAAGACCTGGACCCAGACCTGAATCAGGTTACTGCAGAAGCTGAGGAAAAGGTTCTTGCTTGGTTTTCTTCAAATGAGCTACATTTTAATCTTGAAAAGACACAATATTTTACATTGAGTCTCAAGCAGGAAATTGAAATTAGACTAGATTCTGTCAAGCTTTTAGGATTTCATATTAATTGAAAATTAAGTTTGTCAATTCACATTGAGAAGGTTTGCAAAAAGTTATCAGGAGTAGATTGCTTATTATTATGTAAATTAAAAAAAAAATTGTTAACCTAGAATATTTGAGGCTATCGTATTTTGGCTTGTTTCAGTCCTACATACTCTATAACATTCTAGTTTGGGGACATTCCCCTCATGTAGCTGATATTCTGTCGATTCAAAAAAAAAGCAGTACGCAATATTGCTAATTCTAGATCCCTAGCTCATTGTACACCTCTTTTCATAGAATAAAAAATTCCAACAGTAATTAATTTGTAAATTTTTCAAGTATTACTCTACACTAAGTCAAACTTGCATTCTTTCCCCCTTAGATCTGACACTCATGAGTACAACACTAGGGGTGGATGTAAGCTCAGCATGAAACCTCATAGACCGGCTAAAACGGGTGACTCCTTCAAAATCAACTCAATTCCCTCTTTTAATAAACTACCTGACAGTGCAAAATTTCCTCCAAAATATTTAATATTTTTTTTTATATAATTTATAATTGGCTTATTCAAAATCCTTTTTACAGCCTAAGTGACTTTATCAAGTGCAATTTTGATGTTTATTTTTAATTAAAATAAGTTACGGTATTATGCCTAATTGCATTTATGTAATATTTTGATGTATCAGAAATTTGATTGTAATAAGATGATTATTTTGTAATGTATATGATGTGTCCTATTTCTTTGTAAAAAGAGCAATGGAATAAATTATTCTTATTCTTGTTCTTAATGAGTCTAGGTTGCAACCTAAGCCTGTAAGGAACAAAGTAAACTACTGATCGTAGTAGGGAGGATCCCGGAAGATGGCAAGGTGAACTGTGGAGTGGGTTAGGAGGTCGTTGTGTTATACAGATTGTGTTTGTGAAGCAACACCTCAGTCACAACCGACTCATGCTCCATTGGCATCCATAGACTCCAAGAGACACCTTCACCACTTCCACCAGCACAAGCCGCTGGACGAACACCGTCTGAGCATGGTTAGTCAGGGATCATGACAAACTCTAGTGTTAACATATTGCAACATAAAGGTCTTTGAAAATAAGAAATATGCGTAAATCACTCAAAGCTATACTTCCAGTATCCATCTTTTTAACGGTGCAACATTTGTGATGATCGGTACATACGTTTAGTGAGCACTACGATGATTCGCAGTACTTTCCTGATAATTACACCGCTAATTACAAGGCAAAAATGTGGTTTGGATTCCACTATAAACTGTAGCTCCCTTAGTTGTCATTGGCTGTATGGGCTATTGATTAATAGCAGTGTCTAAGGAACATGTCGGGCTTAGTCACTAAAACTACAAGATCGTGACAATCGTCCTACACTCCATTCATACTTGGCTAAAAAAAAAAAATACCTACATTGGTCGCCGTTTGGTGGCGAGTAACCTTGAGTGGAGAGTCACTTCATCAGCCACCACACTTGCTCAGTTCTTTGTTTTCTATTTATCTTGATAGATATGGAAGAACCTTGTGGGTTTGCGAAATAAGAGGGAAAATGCTGGATACACCTTTTTTCATGTGAATAATGTTCAAAACGAGTGTTTTTACTCTATATTTTGACCTCAGAAACAACCCTGACAAGTATGACATATAACCGAGAATGAATGTTGTAGCTACGCTTGCCCTGGCCACTACAACAAGCTCGGACCAAGCCACAAAGTGTAAGACAATAATAGGTTTTTTACATACCTTTTTACATACCAAAAATGATATTGCTCAACAGCTTACATGTTTTGTTGCGAAGACAACATTATCAAAGCTTGCAACTCGTCAAAAACACATTTAAAACACGAACACGAACACAGAAAACATTAATACGGTACGAATACACGATTGACATTTAGATAGTGCTATCATAATACTGATTTGGTCCGGCGCGGCGCGGGGCTGGTAGCAGACTCAGCCCCGCGCCGCGCCGGACCAAATCAGTATTATGATAGCGCTATCTAAATGTCAATCGTGTATTCGTACCGTATTATTGTTTTCTGTGTTCGTGTTTTAAATGTGTTTTTGACGAGTTGCAAGCTTTGATAATGTTGTCTTCGCAACGAAACATGTAAGCTGTTGAGCAATATCATTTTTGGACTATTTGACTGAGGTATGTAAAAAACCTATTATTGTCTTAACAATATAGTCCAGGGGCCAAAAACATGAATTTTGACCACAAAGTGTGCTGTTGTACATAACTCAATTACTTTCATGGTGGCCTAGTGTGCTAAGGACACCAATACAAGAACAGCCATGGGTAAAAAAACCAATAAACAAATAGACAACCTCCTTGCAACGACGTTGATTCAGTTTGCTTCCTCTTGATATAGTCCAACATGGGGTCTCCCTCTCTGTCCTGTGCTTTGAGGAACTCGTCCAGGTCTGTGTCGTCCTTGTAGCGAGCCAAAGGCTTGTTCATCTCTTTAATCATCTCAGCAGCCCTTGCAGCTGCGTCTTCTGTCTGTTTGATTCTGCAATCCACAATGTCAATTCATTACGATTATTAATGTTATATAATACAGAGAAAATTTCCAATACAGATTCCGATATATTTCTAATGCGGCTAAGGATAAAACTCCACTAATAATGTAATTTGGTTGAATACAATAAACCTCCCATCAGGTTGAGTTTTACTAACTGTCTTGATTAGATCATTTGAACTGGCTTTCATGTGGTTTTATGGGGTGAAAATGGATTTATTTATAATTTAACTTGAAAACATCCAACAAATTTCAGATATTTTCTGATCTCCATATTCATTTACGACATAAAAAGAGTTATCAAAATCCCTTTTCTTTAGTTTGCTGATTGTGGAATTTTCATTCCTCCGTGCATTTGGTCGTTAATGATGTTCTCAGCTAAGTTTTGTCCAAAGTTCAAAGATAATATGATGTTAAACCCACCAAGAATAAGTTGATAAATTTGAGCATGAAACAAAATTTTTCTGGATATTGAATATTTCCTAGATGACAGGCTGTTCTGGAAGTCTAACCAAAAGAGGCCATGGTGTTTTGTTGACTTAAGTTTGGACAACACATTTGCCAGGTCTGCACCAAGGACTCAGGCATGCTCAAAATAATCTCCTGCTCTGTAAGACACTGTTTGAGCACCCATGCCTACTTGATCCAGTGTAGGCTAAGTTCCGCTTTGCGCCAACCTAGAGTACTACGGTGTGGTCTTGTCGCCTTACTACTACCAGCTCAGCCTTATTCACTATCTTCATTTCGTCCACACATGGGAAGAATGAGCGTGCACCTAGTATATATCAAAGCTAGTATTGGTAAAAAAAAAAATTAAAAAATCAAATCCCCAATATCAAAACCTGCAAAACGTTTGAACTAGTCTGAAAAGTTTACATCAAATACAGCTATTAGTGTTTCTTATGGAATCAGATCTGAAAGAAATTATACTCCTGAACCTGACATAATAAATTAATATGAAAATGTGACTAAACACTTAAATTCCTAACACTGACAAAATAAATATTGTACACATGTTGTTACTCGTGGTTGAATTAGTAGTTATGATACCTGTTGCAGTTCAGAATATAATTTACTTGTTTCATTGGTGTTAGTGATGTTCTGTTACCTCCATTTCTGTTGTGTGTGAACGGTGATTAAAAGTGCCAATGTGATTATAATTATCAATTTACCTGTATGATAAATGGGTGATAAAATACTTTCTTGTAAGGACATGATGGATATTGCACAATATTTAGAGTGCAGTCATGGGAAAGGAAATTAATGATTTAAGTATCCACAACGTCACCAAGTTAGTGGAGGGACAAAAAAAACAGGAGGCTTGAAAATCTGGTCTAATCTCGGTAACTTTTTGAAACTTTCAAAGATCAGCTTAGAGAGAGAGAGAGATACAGTAGCAAGAGCGATCCTAGTGGCTCGCTATAATTTCAGTCTGACTGTTCTCCGTCAGAATTTTGCATCTTAAAGGGTTCGTATTAATTCATCGATAGAGTAAAGTTTTCTGTTTCTCGGGCCAATTTAGACTCTCCCCATTAAGGTAAGCCTGCTATCCTCACAAATATGCTATAAACATTTGCCTTGTGCTCTGTGTTACATCCTTAGTCTACATAAAGTATTATTTTGATTTCCTGCACTGCATAAATTGTTTGTAAGACTTTAATTCAAGTTGTTAGTTATGGAATGAAGTAGAAAATAATCTTGAGATATGAGATTCCAAGGTTAAAATCAAAGTATGATGGAATTAGGAGTTAAAGAGATTAGAAGAGGGGTAGAAGACAGGTTAAGAGGGAGAGTAGAACTTGCATGAGTTGTATGTTACGGATATGTTAGAAGAATGACAGAATCATAGATCATTTGCAACAAAATGGAGTTCATGATGATAGAAAGAGATTGAGATGAATATCCAGAAGGTGTAAAGATCAGGTGAAGAGGGATGTGGAAAAGTTTTGTGAGTTTGCAGATGGTTAAAGTAGAGTAACAATAAAGGGATGAAAAAATGCAGAGTCCCAGTCAAAACCTAAACCCGGGCACAACCAACTTAGGGCGGAAGACGGTATATATATGTATGTGTTCCCAATTAAAAAGAATTCATATTATTATTGTTTAAACAATGGTTAGGTGCACACTTAAATGTAGGGAAAACTAATCATAGGCTATTTTCTATTATTTACATAAAAAACTTACCCTTTGCCCCACTTATAGTATTTTTCGTTTACCACAGACTCTTTGGCTTCTTTCTCCTTCTGAGCTTCCTTTTCTTTTTCTAAATCTCTAATTTGACCTGTCTTCCTATCTCGTTTCACTGGAGCTGCACCAACTCCGGAAACACTCGCATCCATCTACGTAAAATACATGATGAGAAACTATACATGGGTTAACTGAACTATATGTGGTATAAAATTAAATTCATGTGATAAATACTGTAAACATTCATTAAACTTCAAAAATGGTTTTGATTGTTAAGTAGTTTAAATGTCTGATTTGGTAGTTGCCACATCCCAGGTGAGAAGAGTCGTAATATCCTAACGGCAGACAGGTCTGTTGGGAGCCTTGATTGAGGCCCCAAAGTATTTTTTTCCCTGGAAAAACAAATTTGTCCAATAATCTATTTTAGAGAGTGTTCAAGTTCAATATAATATTTCAACAGAGGTTTAATTTTTGCCATTGCTGAAGGGTCTGGGAAGACTGCACAGAAAATTACAATTTGTCTAGATCGCTGGAGATGATGAAGTCTTTGCCACCGCGATGTTCACAATTCCTCTCCCATGGCGGACTATATCCCTGGTTTCACCGTAACCGAGGACAATATATATCATTTTTAAATTCCATGTTGATGGCCCCTGGATTACTTTATATGACTATAAAAATGGTACTATACCTCGTCAAGTAGTCCAAATGTTGTTTGAGGTTAACAACCTACATGTTTCGCCGTAAATACGGCATCGTCAGTGTTACAAAAACGAAGACATCGATGTCACACGCACACAATAAATACACGAATACGAACATTTAATTACGAAAAGACAAAGTAAACATTTAATTGACATTGATAGGCCTATCACACGCACTAACTGCGCCGGGACCGTCCGTGTCGTGTGCGTGTGATAGGCCTATCAATGTCAATTAAATGTTTACTTTGTCTTTTCGTAATTAAATGTTCGTATTCGTGTATTTATTGTGTGCGTGTGACATCAATGTCTTCGTTTTTGTAACCCTGACGATGCCGTATTTACGGCGAAACATGTAGGTTGTTAACCTCAAACAACATTTGGACTACTTGACGAGGTATAGTACCATTTTTATAGTCATATCATTTTTATTTAAAATTCAATTTTGTGTTCACGATTTTTCCGTGCCAACAGGATATGATAATGTCTCCACGATAACGCAAGATGTTCACTATTTTGCAGAGTACTTAGTTACGTTTACTATTCCTCTGCAATTGCAAAACATGTTCCAATTTTTACAAGACGGCAGAGGACCCTTACGATTAGGTCGTCAATATACCTCCACAATCGCAAAAGAAGGCCAAATTTTTACTCAACAGCAAGGGTGCTCATGATTTGCTCCAGACTGTGACATGATTTCTTCTTCATTTTTCAATTTTGTTTTGAGTTCAGGATTTTACGGTAATTAAATAAGCTGTTAGGAAGAATCGTAGTATGAAAATTAATATATATTTTTAAATCAATACATTTAAAAAAACCCCTATTTTGACCCTAGGAATGGACTTGTTGACTTTTTTGTAAGATGGATAATGAAGCATTTTACTACTTTCGACTCATTGAGTGTGTATCCACTGAAAACTTGTTTGGTAAGAATTAAGTTACTGATTTATGAGTTTAGAAAATGAAAATACATGAATACCACAGAAAAATCATCATTGTTAAATCAACAAATAATCTCTGAGGCTCTGAAGGTAGAGTATAAATTATCTACAATATTGTATCTCCTACCTTAGCAAACATGGTGTCTTCCTTCATCTTCAAATCAGACAGCTCCTTTTTGAGTTGTTTAGCATCTTGAAGACCTGCTTGTTTTCCATCTAATGTAGTCTTCATCTTCTTATTTCTGTAGGTTAAAACACAGTTAAAATATTTAATATCTGTAAGTTAAATGTTGTGAAATATTTGATAATGTTTAATGTTACTTTATGTTATATTTTGTAAAGTTTAATCGTGTTCTAGCACAGACAAGCATGTCTTTTTTCTAGTTGTACATGTTAGGTTATTATTTGGTATACAGTGCCTAGTAAATATGTATGTGTCACTATTGATAACAGGTTTGTTTATATTTACAAAAAAAAAACTGTAAAAGTTTCAATATTATTTTGTTTGCATGGCAGTAACAGTTTTCACTTATAAATTATTTCTATAACTCCTCAGGGATTTTAACAGATGTACTCAAGACAAGTTGTGCTCAATGGCTAATAATTTTACATTTAAATTCCATAGAAAACTATCAAGATAAAGTTGGACCTTATCTAGTCTGTTAATTGAGAATCAACTTACTTTGACTTTGAAGATCCTTCGTCGGACGAGTCATCATTAGGCTTGTACAACTTCTTTTTAATTGGTCTATCATTTACTGAGGAGTTTTTTCTGGGAGGTGACAGGTCAGAATCACTTCCCTTACTAGTGTTTTTTCTTCTCACAGGTGAATCATCAGAATCACTAACTTCTACTGTGTTGTTCTTTGTAATAACACCAGTTCTTGAATGCTTTGGGGATATACTCCTATATGATTTCCTATGTTTCTCATTCGGTGATCTACTTCTAGACTTCCTTCTCCTTTGATTTTTAGGTGATCTTCTTTCTCTCCGAGGGGGTGAGTTATCTGAATCACTAGTAGGTCTTCTTTTAGATGATCTTTCTCTACGAGGAGGTGAGTTATCCGAATTGCTTGATGGTCTTCTTCTATTTCCCTTTGATTTTACATTTAAATGTTTGTCTGATTTTCTCGGTGGAGAGGCATCAGAATCAGATTTTTCCTGCTTGTACGATCGATTGTCTTTTCTAACAGGTGAATATTTATAATTATGTGTTCTGTACTTATCCTTAACACGAGAAGGAGAACCATCTGAATCTCTTCTTCTTCTTCTCGATGGGGAAATGTATGAATCCCTTTTGTATGTTTGCTTTTTTGTATTGTTTCTTGGTGGTGAATTGGAATAACTTCTGTTCCTACCAACTTTATTACCTCTTACATCATACTTACTAGAGCTTTTTGAGAGTTTTTGACTAGGAACTATTCTTGGCGGAGACTCGTCTGAATCTTTATCATATTTTTTTCTAGGTGGAGAAGCATCTGAATCACTGCTTGAATGCCTTTTGTGTTTTCTGGGAGGGGAAACATCTGAATCATCATTTTGTAGAGAATTTTTCACAGTTTTACCTCTTGGTGGGGATTCGTCTGAATCACTATTGGTGTGGTATTTTTTCAGGCGATTTTTATCCAGAGATGAATCCGATTTGTCATACTTGTGTTTACCAGAAGTATGGATACTACTTCCATCTACATCATATTTTTCTGTTGACTTAGGCATTCTAACTCGATTTTTCGTATCCATTTTTTCACCACCAGAAAGATTGTTAAGGTCATTCATGGCTTTCAATGCTTTAGATACTCTGTCATTATTATCAACAACCTTCACATCACCTTCTTCGCCAAAAACTTTCCATCTTTTTGAGCTGTAATATTCTTGAGCTTTAACTTCGGCAGGTCTCTCATCTATGATGCCAGCAATCTGAGGAGCATCTTCGTCCATCTGATACAACTCAACTTCGTCATCTTCCAGAGGACGCATACTCTTCAGATCTATATCATCATCTACGATTACTGACCTGTAAAAATTAGGATTCATTATCATCTGTGTTTTGCTTGTATAGATTACAGGGAACTTAGTTCTCAAGAACCAACTTAATCTTCAAGGTTCTTATTTAAGACATAACTTTTACACAGTCTAGACAAAATTTGATTAGGTAGCATCTTAAAGAATTATTCATGGTAAAGCATGCAACACATTATTTTCAGTTCATTAAAACAATAATGAATGTTAAATGAAAAATGTACAATTTCTACGCCAACACGAAATTTGTCCTTTGAACTCCTCCGACATTTCTTAACCGATTTTGACCATTCACGTCTCATTGGAAAGAGCGTGACGCGTAGATTTGCAAACTGGCCTTAATTTTTTTTAATCACTTGGGCTCTGTCACCAGTTGCTATTAAGGTTCCCCATTTTACCCTTATGAAGGAAATAAATTTAATTGCTGTTCATATTTATTTTTGAAATTCAAGGAAAAGCATGTATAAACACTGATTTGGTTGAAATTAAATACTTACTATTTGAATTTGGGTTTGCATACATAGGCTACATATTATAATAAACAAAATTTAGAAAGCTTGTACAATTTGATATATTTCACCAAATAAGATAAATGAATTGACACAGTACCGGTACTGTATTTAATGAGCATTCCTTGAAAGAACCGATTTGCAAACTATGGAAACATACGTCATAGAACGCCACCAAGTAGAATAAATGGGGATAATGTTTTACAAAGAATTCAGTATTGTTTTTAGCCTATATAAAAACACCTACAAGAAGAAGATTGCTACAAATGAGGAACGTGGATGTTAGCCGAAGTGCTACCAATTTTAGTAGGAACCATGGATAAACTTTGTGATATATTGCAGAGGAAACTCCTAAGGCTAAATAAAACTGGTACAGCAAAGACATTAAATATATTTTTTTCATAAAAGTCAAGTGATTTTAGAAGAATATGACTACATCCAAGAAACATTTACTAAAACTTTCATTGAAGGATTCAATTAGCTCTAGGGCCTATTCACAGTTAAGGAAAACAAAAAAAACTATCTGAACAACATCAGGCCTATTAAATCTGCATTTTTTAAGGTAAACATAATTGGCGTTATTACAGCAACTAACCAAAAGAATGCCAATTGAAGCAAATAAAATGGTGACAGAGAGGTTATGCAGGAAATTAGGTAGTTCTTAAGTCATGTGAACAAAATTTGATCACTATTATTAACAAAATTACTGAAATTTGTAAACATACTGGAGACAATGGTGGTACAATGCTACATTATCAATGACGAGTATAATCATGGACAACCTAATGCGGCTAAGAGTGGAAACAATTTTAGAAAACACTAAAATGAAGATTAGTTTTTGAAAAATAATAAAATATCTACAAGAAATGTTGATTATATCGAACTGGTATGGACATCATTAGTATTTTCAGTGGTTAAATTATCTTTTAGTTGACTATTTTAAACTTATCGGAAATTATGAGTGTTATTCGTTTTCAAATAACTCCTGTATACTTTGCAATTGCTCGAATTCAAGCAACATGAACACTAGTTTGTATTTTGCCCAGCCCTATCCTAACAGAATAGGCTAGGCTTATTCACAACATGAACAAGAGATGATGATGTACAACTGTGCCATGTGCGTCACCATTTCTTATGCAAGCATAAAGGTAACTGGTCAAAATCTCTTTTGGCCTGGCTACAACAAACGCCAGGCGCCTGAATTTTCCCAGAAATGAATATATAACAAAACTCTAGCCTCGGCTTGACCCACTCTTCTAGCCATTTTTAAAACGGAAAGATCACCCGGTTTTGATAAGTAGGCCTACTTAAGTTTAAGTTAAGAAATTAAGTTTGGTTAAAATAATTAAGTAGGCCTACCTAATATGGAATAGTTACCTTCAGTGAGGAGTTGCTGGGGAAAACCAGGGGTTTTAGGATGTAGTTTAGGTGTTTAAATGTGGGTCTCCCCATAAAACCCGCATCTATGTGGACAATCTTACAGAATCACATAAACTTAGTATTAAATAAATAAATTCATTCGGGTCAATGCAGATCTGAGGTTTACAGGTACAGGTATTGGTTAAGTTATAACATGTGTTAGGGTAAATTAGTTAACCACAGTTCATGAAAATCTGGCTTAGGGCATTTACGGCTTGGGCACAACAAGCATCAGGCTAAAGCCTTTTTCCTTTTAAATAAACACATCTATCGCTTCCCGTTTCCTAAGCCCTCATTTAAATTAGCCTGACCAGACATTTCTTGAAATACACCAATAGCTTAAGTTACCTAACCAGCGATGTGGTAACTTTAAGCTCATGTTCCTGAAACTTCTCTCATAAGTTACTAACTTACCTTATGTAGATTTGTTGAATGTATTGCAAAATAAAGCAAACTAGTGCACCTAAAGCTCGAATTCGAGCGATATCAAAGTAATACAGGCGTTATATGAAAACAAATAACAGTCATAATTTCCGATGACTTAAAAGAGTCAACTCAAAGATAGTTTTTAATTAATCACTCCACTCCAGTTATCAAAACTGAAAACGAACACTCACTCCACTCCAGTTATCGAATCTGAAAACGAAAGCTCTTGTGTGATGAAGGGGGAGAAGTGAGGGATAACAAATCATATAAGATTTTAGATATATCAAATGATGACTCAGAGAGTAGAGCCATAACTGAGAATGATGTTAATGATGTCATGTAGCGGAGAATGTATCAAATCTGGAAGAGGAGCTATTACAACAGATGATCATAAAGAGAGCCAGAGGTGAGAAGATATCCAAAAAGACAACAGAAACCAAAGGACATGGGACCATTTCAAGTGTATAATGTGGTTCATGATCGTACACCAAATTCATCATTTGGATTTGTCAACTGCTTTTTTGAACGGACAGCGGAAAGAAGCCCTATATATTCAACAGCCTGAAAACTTTGTAGTGTTGAAAACAAAAGATGTTCCTGGCCCAATGCACTAAGAGTTAGTGCAATTAATTGGACTGGATCAATTTGATAAACATTAAGGGGTGGTGTTAGAGAAGTAATATCATAGATAAAACATACCCATAACTTACTCCCTTAGTCGATTTCTCATCCTTATGGAACAGCTGAAGACAATTGTATTGTTAGTTCTGTACGGTTTATGAAGAGGTTGTGTTTTGTTTACAATTTGTTTCTCGTTATAACACTTTAACCAAATAATACAATCTACCTAAATCATAAACAATGACTTGTTCCCTAGTTACCTATATATAACCAAACAGTAAAGCACAAATCAAGAAATAAACCCTAAAATAATAGAAAAAAAATTTCATCGACACTAGCGCCCAGTGTCACTGTACAAGCTAACTAAGTTAGACACGAAAAACGTGTTTCAAAACTTACAATGGGATGAGAAGTCTACTTGTGTTGGTTACCTAGTCTATGGTAATATTTCTCATCTTGTCTTTAGGCCTACATCATCACCTAATCAAATATTAATTGTCCTGTTTGCCTTTTGTATGTTCCTAGTTTGGTGTAATTGTTAAAAAGATGAATTAATAATTTAAAAATGTTTTCCATAATATTTCTGGGTAATTTATTAGCCTACATTAACTATCATACATAACTTACCAGCCTTTCACAATATTATCTGTTCCAGTTGTGAAAGATTACGGGTAGGCCTACAGTTTCTTAACTGGGCTATGCTAACTTACTATGATTGAAACAATCAAATTGAAAATACTGATTAATAATCGATATTTTTAAATATAGGCTATCTATTATAAAATAAAACTATCATAGGTAACCTAACCTAACCAACCAAAACTTGCTGATGGTGAAAAAATCGCATGAAGAACAGTCATAATCGAATTTAGGTTTACTAATCGAATCGATAGTTTCAATCGATATTAGCGTAGCCCAGTTAAGAAACTGTACCCAAAAGTACTACAGTTTGGGCCCTTACTAGGCTGAAGCTAGTCTAAGTTAGCCCTAATAAATAGGCTGGGAGTTTAGAGAATAGACCTACCAACTAACCTTTTAATATTAGCTCCAGTTCCAGTAACCTTTTTCTTCTTGCCTTCCCCTGATAGATATTTCTTTAGGTATTCTTTCGTTGCAATTGCATTTGAAGATTCCATCTTACTGAACTGAAAAGTATAAATAAATAAGATTAACTTAAGTTTAGGTTTTGCCTAGAAAGTTATAAACATAACCTAACCTAACACGAAAGGCGGAAAGGTAAGGTTATAGCAAGCAATAGCTATATAGCAGCTAGCAGCAGCAGCAAAATAGCGTTCCGCTCTCCATTATTCACATAAACAAACAAAAGGAAAACAATATTTTCTTATAGAAAAAAACAAGCAAAGTACAATAATAATCAATTGTAAAGTCTTAAATTAGAGCGTTGGTTATATTCATTGGACATATTGGAAGTTGTTATGTCAGACCTCAAGGAGTATGTTTAATCTATGGTCCTAAATTAGAGCGTTGGTTATATAATATAATCATAAGTTGTTATGTCAGATGTCAGACCATAACAGGACCTTGAGGAGTATGTTTAATCTATGGTCAGACACAAGCTACCTATATTTTTTTTTTATTTTACCAATTTTAAATAACATACAAATAAACACCCCCAACACAACAAACCTGCAGACTAAGCGAATTTCAATTTTCCAAATTTGATTTTCAACTAAATCTATTCAAATAACATTAGGTTTAACGAGTACCTACCGCTGCATACAGGGAGGGTAAAAAAGTGTGTTTTTTTCCTTCCACCATGGTGTTTTGTAGTAAAACATTAGTATGAAATAAATATATTTACGCCACACTACATTATTTTGACGAACTTCCCATGCAAGGATTTAGTCCAGAAAACAGCTGTTTGCCGCCAGCTTATTCAAATGGGGTTTCATTGCGTACTACTGTTCTGCAATGAGTTTTACCGGACACCAATCAGCTGATTATACTGTATTTAGGTGGCAATGAGTGGTTGGTTATAAACAAAAACATAACCTTTACTTACCCAGACAGCACACTTTATCCCAGGGACATCCCATAGTAGTCCCCTATGTCCTGAGAATGTCTCGGGAGGATATCCCGCAAAATCCCGGGACGAGTACGAAATTCACAGGATATCCTACAATATACCGTAATGTCCCGGGATTTGTAAGTTAACCTCAGGATATCCTGTAAAGTCCCGGGATATGTACGAATGCCATAGGATATCCCAGAATGTCCCATGACATCCCGGGACATGTACAAAATCCACTGGATATCCTGTAATGTCCCGGTAACAAACTGAAGAAAAAAAAATACTACCACTGATTAAATAAATGTATATCTAAATTTAAATGTTCAAAAAGGCCAATATATATAATAATTTGTTTTTTTCACTAGCGCTTTCAGAAACTTGGTTTCCATCTTCAGGCTGTGTTTACACTAGTACAAAAAGTAAATATTTACTTAATAAATTAATTTTAAACAAAGTTAAAACAGATGATTTAAAGAATATTGGAAAAATAAAAAATGGTATTAGAAAAATTAATCTTTTGAATTTTGGATATGTTACAGTGTTGTTCTTGATGTAATTATTTTCAGTAATTCCGAATTTATAATTGGGCCGTCTTCATAATTTAACAAATAATTTTGGTCTGTTTTTTTTTCTTTCTAAGAATAAGATTACCACGCATTAAGATGTTGAGGTTTTATAATTTATTTTAAAAGTTTAAGGTTTCCCAGATTGAAAATATGTCTTGTTAATACTATGGCTAGCAAGGGTTGACTTTACTTTACTGCCATACTACCACTGAGTTCAGGAAAACTAGAGTTCTATCATAAATATTTTAAGTATTGCGACCATTGCAACTGTTGGCTACTCTTTCACCACTTGAAAAAACCCATAATCATCAAGCGCAGTTAGCTCAGGAGGTAAAGGTAAGAGGCTCACAAGGCGGAGGTACCAGGTTCGAGACCCGTCCGGGTCAAAATCTTTTTTCTCGTTTTTTCTTCAAAATTTGTGTTTATTAACTATTTAATCAATTTACTAAACTTGTAATTAAGCTTTTCATACTACTGTAAATCTATATTATTTTGTGTTTTTTATGTTCAGGCCCAGACCACACTTTATCCCAGGGTCATCCCATAGTAGTCCCATATGTCCTGAGAATGTCCTGAGGACTACCCTGGGATGACCTCGGATGTCCCACGGATATGCTGTGAGATTATCTGTAGGACATCCCCGGGCGGGGACATTACGCATTCCTGTGGATATCCTGCGATATCCCAAGTTGACCATAGGACCACTATGGGATATCTTGCATATCCTGTCGCAATATCCGTGGGATGTCCTGAGGAGAAAGTGTGCTGTCTGGGTAGTTGGTCGATTTTTAGTCCTTTAGTTGGTGGAAATATATAAGGATTTGTACAGATTTAGTAGTATGGCGTAAACTATCGTACGTAACTCGTCCAAAATGTGTGTACCGGACTCGTATGGTAATCCCGTACTCGACTTCGTCTCGCACGGGAACGACCAAACTCGTCCGGTAAACACTTATTTTCAGGACTAGTAACGTAATATACTATTTTCCTACAGTCACCTGACAAAGTTGGCTTCCTAGTACTGTTTATAGTACAGAAAGCTGCTAATTGCTGCATATTTATACTTTGCCGTACGGTTTATACTTTGCCGTACGGTTTATACTTTGCCGCACATCAGGATTCCAACGAAACAACACAAAACAGCGTGGTTCTATTATGCACGTAATCCGTGTACGCTTGGAAATAGGTTGGCAACACTTTAAAAATAATAATACTATGAGCAGCTGATTGACTATTATAACTACGATTTAACCTGTCATTTCGTGTTTATAGTTTCGGTATTTCTGAACTTTCTGGACTTTTCTTTTAAACGTTTTTAAAATATTCCTACGATCTTAACAAACAAGAAAATACCTTTAAAGCATTTTTTAAGGCGCGGAAACCACTTCAAAAAACAAAAAACATACGGAACTATATTCTCAAAACGCGGAGCATATTTCTTGCCGAGGTAAAATAGCGGAGTGATACGGCCGCGGGTACTACTTTCTCTAGTGCACCATTTGTGTTGCCAGCTGAACCTAAAAACGTGTTGTATAGTGTTTGAAAGACTAATTATTTATATGCTTTATAATGGCTGTAGGAAAAATATAATGTGTAACACGAGTGAAAAAGGCCTTTGCTGCACTCGAGATCATTCCGCACTCGCCTGCGGCTCGTGCGTAAACATTGCTCTCGTGTGCAGCAAAGTGCCACTTTCACCACTAGTTACTCAAATAACTATTTCAGGTTTGATCCAAATATATCCATAAACAATCAAACTCTAAGCCTACAACAGTTTACTTATTTTCCAAAAGAATAACGTGGGAAATTTTAATTTAACATTTTCTCCGTAACAAATAATCATACAGAGACACTTTAATATACTAAATTATTTGTTTTCTTAAGCTCTTCAAAATGGTGTAGAGCAAATTTGGGAAATTTGAAGTTTTGAGGGTCAAAAACAAGAAAAACCAATTTTTACCCTATAAATCCCCCCATAAACTCCAGTTCCCCTAGTCCGATCATGCTGGTTCGCAAACTCATATATATATATATATATATATATATATATATATATATGAGTCCGGTCAAATTCATAATATATTGTCCCCTAGTTACCTAAATAACCAAACAGTAAAGCACAAATCAAGAAATAAACCCTGAAATAGTAGAAAAAAATTTCGTCGACACTTTAAACTCATAATTATATATACATATATATATATATATATATATGAGTTTGCGAACCATAGCATGATCAGACTAGGGGAACTGGGGTTTATGGGGGGATTTATAGGGTACAAATTGGTTTTTATTGTTTTTGACCCTCAAAACTTCAAATTTCCCAAATTTGCTCCACGCTATTTTGAAGAGCTTAAGAAAACAAATGGTGTTTTTGGCTTATAGGGACATCAAAATGAAAAAGGAAATCAGTCCCGGGTCCAAGTCATACCATAAAATCTACGGTATAATAACATCCTATGGGGAATTCGCTAAAACATAGTTAGTTGATTTAAACCTTCAGTATCCAATAGTCAATGATTTAAACATACTAGGTTAAAAATTTAAAAATTACAACAGACTCCGCAAAAAAACTGCAGCTGAAATTAAAATTGTACAGCCTCTCGTCCTACAGTCATCAGCCACTCACAGACCTTACGTTTAAATACACAGCGACACTGCCTGATTCAGCATCAATTATGTATGCAAGTTGCGGTAAAGGATGTGAGCTATGTAATAGTATATTTCGTACCTAGGGCCGAAAATGAGGTTTTGCCGGCTCGAGATAGTTTTTAAGTTCGAGACGAAGTCGAGAACTTAAATCGATCGAGAGCCGCAAAACCATTTCGGTCCGTGGTACGAACGCTATTTTTCACCACACTATACCCTATTACCACTATTCACCACAATAATAATGCACACTGATAGTCAACACAACTACAACTTTAAGGTTATGTGAAGAAATAATTTGAGGAATCAGCAAAAATAAAAATATATAGTTGCTAGGCAACGGTGACAATAACACAATTCTATTGAAATGCTATGGATTTTGATTATGTATTTAAAATGCATTCATGTTTTAAGTAAGTAAGCGGACAGCTGATTTTGCGGCCCCGGCCTGTAAAAACCTGCTCGGTCCCCAAATTATGGACAGCTGGCATCGCCAGCAAAACGTAACTTTCGGCCACCAATTAACGTATGTAATACAGCCAAAAACATGATAGTGTGGTGAAAAATACGTAGTTTTTCAACTAACTATAGGCTATAGTTGTGGAGTGCGGTATCCAAAGTTATGTCTGTGTCTAGTGTGGTAACTATGTGTTGTAAGATAGAAAAAAATTAATAATTTCCTTATTATTCTTAATAAAAAGTAATAGTGTTTTGATGAACAGTTGTCAAATGTTTAAAACTGGGAATTTGGGAAAAAGTAAATTCGTTGAATAATGTTTGGCCTTTTAAGAATCATTTTGATTAAGGTTTTCTGCGTTACGTGAAGAGGGCCAACGTGACAGATACACCGCCCCACGCTGGTACGCCATACTGCAACACAGACTGCACTTATGCACAATAAACACATCTGCAGACTGCAGTGATCAACCGTTAACACACGGCATAGTTGTTGATAAAAGGCGTAGATCATTGTCTACTATACTACAAC